CCTGAAAAGGCTCTAGTTCCTCTTTCCGCATACCTTATATACCTTTCTCCACCCAGCCATCACTTCCTTCCTAGTGCTAGGATTAATGGCATGTGTGCTTCCAAAATACTGGGATTAAAGGTATGAGATCTCAAGTACTTAGATTAAGGGTGTGTGCCACCACTGCCTGGCTCTGTTTCTCTCCTAGACTGAGTCAATTTTATGTAGTCTAGGGTGGTTTTCAACTCACAGAGATCCAGACAGATCTCTGCTTCCCCAGTGCTAGGATTGAAGGTGTGTGCCACCACTGCCTAGCCACTATGTTTAATCTAGTGGCTTGTTCTATTCTCTGATCTTCAGGCAAATTTTATTAGGGTACACAGTATATCACTACACCAAGGGGTTTCTGAAGATTCATTTATGATTATTCTATGTGTATGAGTGTTTGCCTGCACTCAAGTGATGCATGTAATGTCGGGGCATTCCAGGAGACCATTCTAAACCACAGAGGTTATTGCCATTGCCCTCGGTTGCATCCCAGAACTTGAAATTAAGAGTTACTGCTGAAGGCACCACACACTTTGGACACAGGACTGGTAGCAAGGGAGCTGGAACTGACCGGGAAGTTCTATGGACAAAGGTACTATGCAAGCCACTAGGGAGAAAGTCAATGAAAAGTCCTATTGGTTGTGAAGCTTATGAACCACCATAGCAGGACAAGATAATGTCAAGATAGATTCAAGTGTCAAGATATGACACTCACGTCTCAGAGATGACCAAGAGCTACCTAACTGGACTTCTCAAAAGGGTGGAATGTATGCCTGCTACGAGAAACCTAGCCACCTCCCTATGTCTGGTGAGGTTGTGGGCTTTAGAGGAGAACCCACTACTGCTCCATTTCTATGCCAGTGTGTGTCTCAACTGGATTCTTAGAATTCATCCTTGTATACACAGATAAGTGTAGCTCTTACTCAGTATCAAAACAGATGTTTGTTTGTTTGTTTGTTTGTTTGTTTGATGTAGATGGAGTCCATCACAGAAATCTATACTGGTGAAAAAGGAGAGACTAAATAACAATGGGGTGCCTATCCCCAATTAATACATCTAAACCCAACCCCTACATCTAAGGTTCAGGGAGCAAGCAGGAAGACGGGGCAGAAAGAATGTTGTGGACCATGGTATCCGATATGAGGTAGTGTCTTCTATATGGCAGAGAATGACCCCCAATGGTAACAACATGGTCACCGAAATGATTTGATTTCTAATTGAATCAATTTTCCTGACTTTTCTCTCTATCTTTTACTATAAGAGGAAGCATGACCTTGAACTCCTGATACTACAGCTCTCTCCCCTGAATTCGAATGTGATAAACATGCACGTGTGTCCAGCAGAAGTCATAAAGACCAGTCCTAACCTAGTGCTGCCTCTCTGCTTCCCTGCTGTTGGGAAAAGGAAATTCAAAAACAATTCCTAGCCGGGCGGTGGTGGCGCACGCCTTTAATCCCAGCACTCGGGAGGCAGAGGCAGGCGGATCTCTGTGAGTTCGAGGCCAGCTTGGACTACCAAGTGAGTCCAAGGAAAGATGCAAAGCTACACAGAGAAACCCTGTCTCAAAAAACCAAAAAACCAAAAAAAAAAAAAAAAAAAACAATTCCTACGATTAATTACTGGTGGACTGGTCATATGCCATGGTACACATGTGGAGGGCAGAGGAAACCTTCCAGGAGTCTGTTCTCCTTTTGTGGGTTCCAGAAACCCACTGAGCCTACTTGGGGTTGCTTGGTAGGGGAGTTCTGAAAGACCATTAGTGCATGGAGGTTTCTACTATTTTCTTCAAGAGAGGCACCTCTGTTTTCTGTTCGGAATTTGATGCTGTTTGACAATTTCTCACTGTGTGGTTGTGGTCAGGTTGGCTGAAACTCACAGAGATGATCTGCCTGAGCTTGTGGAGTGCTAAGATCAAGAGTGTGCACCCTGTTCAGGATGACACAGGTGTATTAATAAAGCTTTATTGTTTGGTTGATTTTCATCTCCTCATGCATTGCTGTTGATTTTTCACACTTTGAAACAAAGTGTCTGTCTCACTCTTGATGGTTCTACAGGCCTTCATCAAGCCATCATTGCAATTAAGCTTCTTGCTAGTAAGGACCACAGGTTCCCACCACCCACGTCAGCCCTTTCTCATCTGCAACATGTTCCCTGGGGTGTGATTTGGTTTTGTGTTTGGTTTTTAGTTTGTTGTTGTTGTTTTGAGAAAAAAGCTCACCATGTAGCCTTTGGCTAGCCTAAAATTCACTACACACTCAAGTACACACACAATAAAACCCACACTGAAACACACACATAGACACTAAAACCACACACACTAAAATATTTGCATACATAAGCGTGCTCAGGTAAATATACACGTACAAAATAAGTCAATCTTCAAGCAATGGAATATTGACTTTCTATTTTAGTGTTTTTGTTTTCACAGGATAGGTCTGATTCAATCAACCTCCAGTAGAAAAAAATCAATCATTAACAGGATTAAGTGGGTAGAGACTCATTGGACCAATCAGATATAAGATTTTAGTAGAGGGGTGGGGCTTCCGGGGAGGGGTGAGGAGGAAACGGTATAAAAGGGTCAGAGGAGGCCTGGGAGAATAGAACCTGAGTCCTGGAGCCTGGAGTCACTGCCTGGCCTTGCTGAGAATAGGAGCCTGTAACCAGTGTCCATATCAGGTAAGTCACTCACCTCCATCAGGCCTAGTGTATGCTGGTCTAGCCTTATCACCAACAAAGCTACATTTCCAGAGCTTCCAGATTAAAATTTAATATTTTTAGATTTGGTGAAGTTTGGTTTTAATGAAAATGACCATCACATAGGAGTTTACATGTTAGTTTCTTTGGCTCATTTCACTTTTGAGACGGATCAAAACAAGCAAGGCAGAACTTACCTCTACATAAAATTAAACAAAAGGAAATAGACGACCTGGAAATGTGGTTGAATGCTACAGCACTTGTGATCAAACCCCACTACTAAGCAACTTCAATGAAGACATTTTAAATAATATTTTCTTTGAAATTCCCCCAACTTGGACTAGCCTGAAATATACTTATTAGATTAGTATGACTTGGAATCCTCCAAACTCATCTTCCAAAGAGATGGGATTATAGGCTCCTAGATGGTAACATTTATGCAGCTTTTTAAATGCAGAGTGTACCAGCCATGTATGGTGGAAAAAAAATACAATTCCAACACACCTAATGACAGGGAGGAGGAGTATGGAGACTAGGGGCAGCCTGGGATACATAATGAGTGAAATCCATTATGTAAATCCATTATGAAATCGGGTTTAGAAGTTTAGCCAATTCCACTCAAGCCTCCAACACAGGCTACACATATTTCAAAGTCAAAACAAAAATTTAAAAATATTGGCAGATTATTTTTCTCATCTCCTTCTTCCTCCATAGACCCCAAGGTACCATGGGAAATTTTCATCCCTGTAGCCTCTGTACACCTGGCTCTCATCTGAGACTGTCGTTTTACAGGTGTTCTCTTTCAATAGCATGATTTTTAGTTGTGTTGGGGAAAGTTGCATGGCTTATATTTCAGACATGGTCTGACTATGTGGCCTGATGCCCATAAATTTAAAGACCTTTTACCTCCTCCCCCAAATGAGTATAATATAGCTCAGTACCTCCACACCCGTCTCTAAAGCATTTAGAAGTAGTATGGCCTGATAGAATTTCCCAAATTCTCTTCAGTCCATCCCAGGAAGGATCAGTTTGTTGGAAGTACAATGAGGGTGGGTCGGCCAGGTGACATCAGCACTGTATTTTCTCGAGAGCCTGAAAAGATGGTCAGTGTCTTTTCCTGCAGCAAGAGTCTGGTCAGTCTGCATGCTCCTGAATAACCCTTCTAACTTTGAGTACCCAGTGGTACAATGATTAATTTGTGCCCGTGTGGGGGCTTATAAGAGACTCCACATGCTGAGAGTGATGGAAGCTTGGCTTTGACACCACCAGATGGTACAATAGAGTTCTCCATTATTGCCAGATCAAGGACTCTGATCCTCTGGTTCCTGCAACATGTGA